AGATTTTGTCCAGGTAGTGGGGAACTATACGCAGGAAGGAATACATATAAATGACCTCATAGGGGACAGGAGCCATAGTAGGGAAACAAGTGTAGTCAAAGATAAGATAAAACCAATATTGCAAACTAGAAATACCGCAGGAAATAGCAAACAAGAGGACTCCACTAGCAATAGTGAGGATATATTACCAAAAACAACTGGTGGGAGCTCCATTGTTGGTGCTAGGGAGGATAGAAGTAAGACAGGGAAACATGCACCAACAGGGAATACAGTCACAGAAACCCAAGGCAAACGGAAACCAAGCCTGTGCACATACTATGCACTCGGTATCTGCTGGCATGGGAAATCTGGAAAAACAGATGGGACGTGCAACTATGACCACCCTAGAAAATGCCATGCCCATATTACAACAGGAAAATGCAATCTCCCTTCCTGTAAGCTTTTTCACCCTGAACTGTGTACCTCTTCAGTACAGGAAAGACTGTGCTATAACTTAAATTGCCAGGCATACCATCTAAAGGGGACTAAAAGATACAAAACATCCAGGCCATGGGAAAACCTGGGAAGCCACAGCCACTCAAGAGGGAGAGGTTTTTTAGTGACAGGAAGGAAAAAAAACTGGCAGGAAATGGCAGAAATCGTACACCAAATCCAGTCATTCCAGGAGTGGAACTACAGTCGATGGCCTCCACTCCAAACCAACAGATACAGATACTAATGCCGGAAAAAAAATCCCCCCCAGTACCAACAATACCAACAGTCCGATAACATTCTTCTTTGCAAATATACAGGGTCTAAAGCCAGCAACAAACAACAAAATGCCTTTCATCCGTGGACTGCTTGCGGAGGCAAAGGCAATGTTCGCAGCTTTCACTGAGACCCACATAAAGGATCACTTGGACAACGAAATATGGATCCCAGGTTACAACCTATACAGATGTGACAGAGTGAACAGGCAAAAGGGGGGGGGGGATGGCCTGTACATTGCAGAGTCACTTGTTTGCACAGAACTGCTAAATGCCTCAAATGATGTAGTGGAAGTTTTAGCAGTAAAGGTCGAGAACCAAAACCTAGTCATTGTGGTAGTCTACAAGCCTCCGGATGCAACATCCCAGCAATTCCAGGAACAGCTGTTAAAAATTGACCACTGTCTGGAAAATCTTCCAGCTCCTGCACCCAACATCTTGCTCCTGGGGGATTTCAACTTAAGGCACCTAAAATGGAGGAATATAGCAAATAATATTATTGCAGTAATAACACCAGGAGGCAGCTCTGATGAAAACTCACACTCACACGAGCTTTTAAATCTCTGCACAAAATTCAATTTAAACCAGCAAATAATAGAGCCTACTAGACTGGAGAATACACTAGACCTCATCTTCACTAACAATGATGATCTGATAAGAAATGTCACCATATCAAAAACAATATACTCAGATCACAACATAATTGAGGTTCAGACATGTATGCGCAGAGCCCCAGACCGACAAAATGAGATTAGTCACGAGGGAGCATTCACCAAATTCAACTTCAATAACAAAAACATAAAGTGGGACCAAGTAAACCAAGTCCTAACCGATATAAGCTGGGAAGATATACTAAGCAACACAGACCCCAACTTATGCCTAGAACAGATTAACTCGGTGGCACTCGATGTATGCACAAGACTTATTCCTCTAAGAAAAAGGAGGAGTAGATGTAAAATAGAAAGAGACAGGCGCTCCCTTTACAGGCGACGGAAAAGAATAACAGAGCGGCTAAAAGAGGTCAATATATCTGAAATGCGTAGGGAGGCACTGGTCAGAGAAATAGCAAGCATCGAACTTAAGCTAAAAGAATCCTTTAGGAGTCAGGAATCGCGGGAAGAACTAAAAGCCATAAATGAAATCGAAAGAAACCCAAAGTATTTCTTCTCCTATGCCAAATCTAAATCGAGAACAACGTCTAGTATTGGGCCCCTACTTAAACAAGATGGGTCCTACACAGATGACAGCAAGGAAATGAGTGAGCTACTCAAGTCCCAATATGACTCAGTTTTTAGCAAGCCACTAACCAGACTGAGAGTCGAAGATCAAAATGAATTTTTTATGAGAGAGCCACAAAATTTGTTTAAACCCACAAGCCTATCCGATGTTATCCTGACGCCAAATGACTTCGAACAGGCGATAAATGACATGCCCATGCACTCTGCCCCAGGGCCAGACTCATGGAACTCTGTGTTCATCAAGAACTGCAAGAAGCCCCTATCACGAGCCTTTTCCATCCTATGGAGAGGGAGCATGGACACGGGGGTCGTCCCACAGTTACTAAAAACAACAGACATAGCCCCACTCCACAAAGGGGGCAGTAAAGCAACAGCAAAGAACTACAGACCAATAGCACTAACATCCCATATCATAAAAATCTTTGAAAGGGTCCTAAGAAGCAAGATCACCACCCATCTAGAAACCCATCAGTTACACAACCCAGGGCAACATGGGTTTAGAACAGGTCGCTCGTGTCTGTCTCAACTATTGGATCACTATGACAAGGTCCTAAATGCACTAGAAGACAAAAAGAATGCAGATGTAATATATACAGACTTTGCAAAAGCCTTCGACAAGTGTGACCATGGCGTAATAGCGCACAAAATGCGTGCCAAAGGAATAACAGGAAAAGTCGGTCGATGGATCTATAATTTCCTCACTAACAGAACACAGAGAGTAGTCGTCAACAGAGTAAAGTCCGAGGCAGCTACGGTGAAAAGCTCTGTTCCACAAGGCACAGTACTCGCTCCCATCTTGTTCTCATCCTCATATCCGACATAGACAAGGATGTCAGCCACAGCACCGTGTCTTCCTTTGCAAATGACACCCGAATCTGCATGACAGTGTCTTCCATTGCAGACACTGCAAAGCTCCAGGCGGACATCACCCAAATGTTTCAGTGGGCTGCAGGAAACAATATGAAGTTCAACGATGAGAAATTTCAATTACTGAGATATGGTAAACATGAGGAAATTAAATCTTCATCAGAGTACAAAACAAATTCTGGCCACAAAATAGAGCGAAACACCAACGTCAAAGACCTGGGAGTGATCATGTCGGAGGATCTCACCTTCAAGGACCATAACATTGTATCAATCGCATCTGCTAGAAAAATGACAGGATGGATAATGAGAACCTTCAAAACTAGGGAGGCCAAGCCCATGATGACACTCTTCATGTCACTTGTTCTATCTAGGCTGGAATATTGCTGCACACTAACAGCACCTTTCAAGGCAGGTGAAATTGGCCGACCTAGAAAATGTACAGAGAACTTTCACGGCGCGCATAACGGAGATAAAACACCTCAATTACTGGGAGCGCTTGAGGTTCTTAAACCTGTATTCCCTGGAACGCAGGAGGGAGAGATACATGATTATATACACCTGGAAAAATCCTAGAGGGACTAGTACCGAACTTGCACACGAAAATCACTCATTACGAAAGCAAAAGACTTGGCAGACGATGCACCATCCCCCAATGAAAAAGCAGGGGTGTCACTAGCACGTTAAGAGACCATACAATAAGTGTCAGGGGCCCGAGACTGTTCAACTGCCTCCCAGCACACATAAGGGGGATTACCAACAGACCCCTGGCAGTCTTCAAGCTGGCACTGGACAAGCACTTAAAGTCAGTTCCTGATCAGCCGGGCTGTGGCTCGTACGTTAGTTTGCGTGCAGCCAGCAGCAACAGCCTGGTTGATCAGGCTCTGATCCACCCGGAGATCTGGTCACAGACCGGGCCGCGGGGGCGTTGACCCCCGGAACTCTCTCCAGGTAAACTCCAGGTAAACCCGGGTATTAGTCGACTGGTGTGGGTCGCATCGTGGGGACAAAAGTTCTAATTTGCTCTAAATGCTCGGCATAACAAGCGGCTTTCTATATAGTATTATGTCATTGATGTCAGCTAGGACTGTATACCTTGTACATGTACTTGTAGTGATAAAAATTGTTATTACTATTATTAGGTGACTACAGTTACCATAGTGGGATGAATTGTAAAGGACTTGCCTAGTATGGGCCAACAGACCTCCTGCAGTGTGCCTCCTTTCTTATGTTCTTATGTTCTTATAGATAGTAATATATATTTAAATTACCTAAGATAGTCCCAGATATGTCAAAGTGACTTATTTCCATTGGGAGATCATTAATATATCTTTATTTACTACAAGTACATGTACAAGGTATACAGTCCTAGCTGACAACAGTGACATACTACTATATAGAAACTCCCTTGTTATGCTCTGCATTTCGGGCAAATTAGGTCAGTGTCCCAGGATGCGACCCACACCAGTCGACTAACACCCAGGTACCCATTTTACTGATGGGGAACATAGACAACAGGTGGAAAGAAACACGTCCAGTGTTTCTACTCTGGCTGGGAATCGAACCCAGACCCTCGCCGTGTGAAGCGAGAGCATTAACCACCAGGCCACCAGAGGAAATAAGTAAGTTTATTCAGGTACAGGTACACATAAATACAGTTACATAAATTATTATACGTAGCAGCATATGTGTAGATTTCTTATGATAACTTCTTTAGCTATCAAAACTTTGCGGCCCAAGTCCTTGGACCCATTATGTGCCTCAGTAATCTCTTAACTACCACCCACACCATGGGTATGACGTGCATAATAAATATATTCAATTGAACTAAGCTGCTAGCTGAAGAAGAATATAAGTAAGTAAGTAAGTTTATTCAGGAATACACAAATACAGTTACGTGGATTTTCTTAAGTACCTAGGATAACCCATAAAAGTCAGAGTGACTTATTTCCATTGGGGTCCTTTAATTTCCATTGTATCATGGTCACATTAACACCTTAATAGTGTTGTGCGTCAAATTATTTGTACATTTTTTTTTTTTTGTCAGAAACTTAGTGTTTCCATTTAGTATCCCTTTGATGTAAATTTCCTGACGTTTTACATTTTGGCTCCTTAATATTATTCAAGATGGCGTCAACCACGGTAAACAAACACGTAATTCCGTAGTATTTTCTTTATTATTTCAAAATTCGCTCACCTATAAATCACTATTAATGGACGAGGGGAAGTTTGTGTCGTACTTAAGTTTGTGCATTAAATTTGCAGTTAGTTAGTGGTAAACAAGTGGACTAAAAACCCCCCAAGACGTTTGACCCAGGAAGCGAAGATTCAGGAAGAGAAGTGACCCAACCCACTTGTGTCAGCCTAACCTCCTCCCGCCTCTCCCCATATTAATTACAGGTGTTGTGGGGAGCCTGTGTGACTCTTGAACACCTGCCAGTATGTCTGTGGTGAGCTCTCTCTCTCGTCTCAGTTATGGGTGGGACGAGAGCGGCGGTAAGGGTAAAGTTTGTTAACCAGTATTTTGCATTTTCAGTCTTCAAGGTTACTGTGGTGTGAAGTTTTGTTTGGTATAATTTTGTCTGCCTTAATTGGTGATGCTGGTGGTTCACGATGTTGTAGTGTTATGAATGTGCTGACCAATGTAAGGGAGTGTTATAAACTTGTATTATGGTCATTACTGTGATACAAAAGTGTTATTTTATAATGATTTAGCCTAGAATATCCAAACACTTCTTCAGAAGGACAAAATAAAATACTGAGGAATTCTGAGGTAGAATTTTGAGGATATCCTACGTAGAGTCATCATAAAATATCACTTTCATATAAAAAAATACATTGTAACAGTGCTTATTTCTTATTATATATTTAGATTAGCCAAATAGAATATTAAACTGTAGCATGTATAAGTAATTCCTATTCAGAACAAAACAATTACATGTATATATTATTTTGTTTTGAATATGATTTACATACACTATAATATCATTGCATTTGGCTAACCTAAATATAAAAATATAAGACAAGCACTGTTATATTTCATTAAAGAGAATGATTGTCAGCATTTGTGTAACCTACAAGCTTATAATCTAATCAGTCACAACATAACCACATAAACCTAGCTTAAGTAAAGCTCAAGTACGTTTTAGTAAATACCTATGCAAACTTTATTTAAATTTTGTTTAAAGAGTTTAGGTAAAGCTAATGTTATATTAAATGCAATATATTATAGGTAACTAGGGACTTTTGTGCCAGCCTTGGTGGTGTGTGTGGATGTTGTACTCTGCCTGGAGTATCAGTGACAGATTCCCTCTTGGTTCTTTTTTGTTGAATGATTGCCCTCGTCTTTTCTTACCCATTGGGAACGTTATCTGGGGCACAATAATTAGCCTCTTTTTCTGCATTTGCAACTGAATGTGTTATTGTGGGGGAACCAGTTTCCTGTCTCTTAGGTGGGGTTTAAGTGTCCTCTGCCAAACCAAAGGTGTGTAGGGGGTTCCACCTAGGCCACGGTGGCCCATGGCCTTGTGGCAAAAGTTCTTTCCTCACACAGTGAGGGTTCGGGTTCGATTCCTGGCAAGGATTGAAACATTGGGCGTGTTTCCTTGCACCGGTTGTCTGTGTTCATCCATCAGTATAAAATGGGTACCTGAATGTTTAGTCAATTGGTATGGGTTGAATCCCAGGACAAAAGTGACCTAATTTGCCCGAAATGTTCTACATTACAAGCGGCTCTCCTTATAGTAGTATGTCATTGATGTCAGCTAGGCCTGTATACCTTGTACATGTACTTGTTGAAATAAAGATATTAATCTAATTGGGAACACTTATTGCCTTTCTGTTGAGGGACATTAGTTCCGTTTATTTTTTTCACCCTGATTGGGCAGTTTTTCTTCCTGGACATTGTAGGGTCAAGTTCTATCAGCACAAGCTGTCAGTAGTTTTCCCCTCAAATTTCCACCAACAATAATAATAACCTAACCAACTTATGTGCTGATTCTAAGACTGCTTCTAGCATGTCTACTTGCCTATCTTCTGTTAGTCTGGAAATTGCTGTTTCATAGGATTTTCAGTTGGTAGCACACTGGACACTCCCCCCCCCCCCACACACACACACGCGCACACACAAACAGTACCTCAGTACTCGAACTTAATTCATTCCAGAAGGCTTCGAATGTCGTTCTGTTCAAATACCGAAAGAATATTTCCCATAAGGAATAATGTTAACACAATGAATAGATGATGAAATAAATGAAATAGATGAAATAAATGCAAATTTATTCTCACTTTACCTGTAACTGGAGAGTTGATGGCGCATGTGAAAGGTGGTGAGGAAGGTGAGGAGGAATGGAGATGTTATTGTTTATCACCTTCCATAAAAACAGCAGATAACTGTGCTTCTGAGGTTCTTTCTCTTTTCTGTCTCTGTACTTTCTTCCTGAGACCCCCTGGGTTTCTGTCTCACTAGAAACCTGTTTAATGAAATTTGCTTTTGCCTGCATTTTAAAATGTTTCTGAAGTGGGACATAGCATAGTCATCAGGTTTGTAACATGATTTGCTACAGCTTTTGTCTGGGTGATATTTTTCAAGAAGACTTTGCACTCCCCTCCCTCCCCTTTGCACACACTTCTTTTATAAGAGCAGTAGGTAGGTCGTGTTTGTTTGGTTAAGTGCCAAGTAAATGGTCAACTGCCGAGTGATTTTTACTGAACAAAACATTCAAATACCGAATTGTTCGAGTTGGGAGCTGTTCGAGTACCAAGGTACCACTGTATGTTGACTGTAGCTAGTAATGAGTATCTATGTAGGCTGAGGCTATTTGACTGGCAGCCAGGTGCCCAGATAAGAACATAAGAAAGAAGGATCACTGCAACAGGCCTACTGACCCATGCGAAGCAGGTCTGTGTTCCCCCCCCCCAATTAGCCCAATGACCCACCTAGTCAGGTCACTTCCACTTAAGGAAGGAGCAAGGCATCAGACCCGGTAGCACAAGCTAGTCAGGTCCAACTCTCACCCACCCACACCCACTCTTGTATTTATCTAACCTATTTTTAAAACTACGCAACGTTTTAGCCTCTATAACTGTACTCGGGAGTTTTTTCCACTCATCCGCAACTCTGTTACCAAACCAGTGCTTTCCTATATCCTTCCTGAATCTGAATTTTTCCAACTTGAAACCATTGCTGCGAGTCCTGTCTTGGCTGGAAATTTTCAGCACGCTATTTACATCCCCTTTGTTTATTCCTGTTTTCCATTTATACACCTCAATCATATCACCCCTAATTCTACGCCTTTCGAGAGAGTGCAGATTCAGGGCCCTCAGTCTATCCTCATAGGGAAGATTTCTGATACATGGGATCAACTTTGTCATCCTCCTCTGTACGTTTTCCCAGTGTATTTATATCCATTCTGTAATGCGGTGTGACCAGAACTGTGCAGCATAATCTAAATGAGACCTAACCAAGGATATATAGAGTTGAAGAGCAACCTGAGGACTTCTATTATTTATACTTCTAGATATGAAGCCAATGATTCTGTTAGCTTTATTGCAAACACTAATGCACTGTTGTCTGATATTGAACTGCATTGCCAGATGTACATGTTCATTCTTCTTTTTCAGTTTGTTAATTAATGGTTAAATATATGTTTTTATAAGTTCATATAAACTAATCTGGCCTATTAACTGTTAAGTAAATAACCTTCAACAAACTGTTCATTACCCAGCTACTGGGTTAAAAGATACTTCCATCTAATTGTGTTTCTGGGAGTAGAACAATGCATTTGATATCTTATTTTTTATAAATTCTTTTGAAAATTCATTGGTATTTGACACAGTCTCCTCTTAGTGTGTTGTCCGGCAAACAAAAAGACTCAGGTTTGACTCCTGCTGGACAGACTGATGTGTATAGGCAAGCCTCCTTATAACCACTGCTCCTGTTAACCTAGTAGTAAATAAGTAGCTTCTTGGGTGTGTGTCAGTTATTGAGGGGTGCAGGCAGGAGGGTGGATCAGAAGGAACCCATCAATGTATTCTTCTTCACTCATTTATCACTGGGACATGATATCTGTGACATACCTGTGACCGGTATGTCACAGATAACATGGCCCAGAAAAGTGTTACAAACAGCAATGGGTCTAATTCCTCCAGCCTTCTTTTTAAGGACACAAGGTGATGTACCAAAAAAGAAAGATTTCATTTTGTCAGGAATCAAACCAGCCAAGCTGTTAACGATTCTCGTGATCTCCGAAAACAGTGTCTCAGCAATCTCTCCAATAACTGGATTTATCACTTGTATTTGTGATGCCTGTGACATACCTGTGACATACTTGTGACTGATTTAGAGGGTTCTCCTACCTTCATGGCCTAGTCTGAAACTAGACAGGCTATTAGTGCTAGTGGCCTACAGGCCCACATGCCCATCACTACCATCACTACCTGAGTGATATACCTTACCTTTGATCAGGCACTTTCAGGAGATAGTGATCCAGTTTCCTTTTGAAAACTTCTACATTCATTCTAGCAGTATTTCTGATATATGTTGGTAACTAGGTGAAGAATCTAGGATAACGGATAATAACAGTATTCTCTGATTATGCCTATGTCACCCCTGCTTTTCAATGGATTTATTCTACACTGTCTTCCGAATCTTTAATTTCAGTATGTAAGTTATGGCAGTGTACAGATTAGGAACCAGACTTTTGGATATCATACACGTGTATATTACTGGGAGGCCTGGTCAAGGACTGGGCAGCGGGGGCGTTGACTCTCAGAACACCCTCCAGGTAGACTCGTGGCTCAGTTGGTAATGTCCTTTGCTCACTCACTAGGACCATGAATCTCTTTTCAATCTGGGTGAAATGTTGAGTGTACATGTATTTCCTTATGCTTGCTGCCCCAGTTCACCTAGAAGTATAGGGGACCCCGGTTATCAGCTGTAATCCGTTACAAAGGTTGGCCTAAAACCAAAATGACCAGAAACTGAAATAATATTTCCCTTAAGAATTAATGTAAATTCAATTAATCCGTTTCAGACACCCAAAAATATTAACAGAAAATACATTTTTTAAAGATTAACTGTAGTTTTACATACACAAAACAATGAGAACTAAATAAAATGACTAATGGATTAATGAACATTTGAATCACTTTTACCTTTATTGAAGAGTCTAGTTGGCATATGCAAAACGGCGAGGAGCGGAGAGGGAGGCAAGTTTATTGTTTGGAGAAGGACAAAATGCTTAAATATGACACTTATTATCAACTCTATGGCTTATTTATCTAATCACAATTCATCTAATATGATATAATAAACAATATTAATAACACAGAAACATGATATATACTCTAGAATGAATAACATGTCATTACGTATGTGGAGTGGTGGTGGTGGTGTTAGGTTTATAAGGGCTACTGAGAGCACAAGCTGTACATATTAGTGGTAGAGGAG